AGCTCCTGGACGAGGAAGGTAGGAGAAGTTTGTTTGGGAAAATTAAAATGAGTAATTGTAGTATTTGATGTATGATGTACGCTTTCTCTGTTATGAGGTATCGTTTTTAATGGAGGCTGTAATGAAAAGTCATATGTATTCAATCACACATAACGTATGTAGATGAGTGTGCGTGCCTGCGTGCGTGTGCGTGTGCATGTATGTGTGTGTGTGTGTATGAGTTTGTCTGTGTGATAAACTCCAAGGTATAAGTATTCAAGTGCTTCTTGTTTTCAGAACTAAGTGAAGACACCATCAGTGGGGTGGAGCTCGTACCTCCAGGGGTGCGAGAGGACCTGAGGGCCATTGCCACCTGGCTCGACAAGCACAGCAACACGGACAGGCTCACTGTCTACGCCAAGCTGCGCTCCAATGCCCTGTCACAGAGTCTGCAGGTCAGTGTTGTAGGAGAGAGTGTCATGGAGGATTAGGGTTTTGATATCTTGGGTGCTCTTGGGGTTTAAAGAGGTTTAGGAAAGTGTTAATGAGAAGGAATAATTTTATAAAGCAAGGTGGTCTATTTGGCATTTTAATTGTGTGATCCTCATCAGACATATAATCAGAATATAAGCTAATTTATCTTTGCCCTGTGAAATATTCATGTCATCCTCATCTATTATCATATTAAACTGTAAGGAGAAGATAAGTGAGTTGTTGCTTGTAATAAGATTAGAAATAGAAATGTGAGGAGGGGTAATTCTTCTTGTTTCTGTTAGTCTCTCTCTTCTTTCTTTCTTTTCTTTTCTTGAATTTGTTATTGAAATTACTGGGGATGATTAGTTAGATCTGTGGAGATTAGCATATGATCTGTGTCTTAGTTGAATTACTTGTTCTGATGATACTTTTTATCTTGTTTATTGGCATGTGCATTTGTAGTCATATCCTTCAAAAAATCAATAGCCACTTTCAGATTCAACTGTTAGTCCAGCATCACCAGCAGATCTTACTCTGAAGAGCTATCAGTTGAGAACCAAAAATCATTTCACATCAGAGGCAACATTTAAGAACTGTGGGCCACTTTTATCAAAATTTGGTTTTTGAGATTACCTCCTAAAATGACAGAAATAGTTTAGGGGAGGGTATCATCCATAAGAAATCTGAAAGATTATCTGAATAGGATTTTTTTTTACTATACACAACCACTTACTATCTTATGACTCCCCCCAAAAATATCCTTTCTGAGTATCAATAAATAGAAAAAATAGGATTTTTTTTTTCTTCTTTTTTTTTTTCTTTTTGTTATTTTTTGTTCTCCACTAACCTTACTGCTGCCACACTGGCTGCTGCTTGAAGAGAGCAGTTACCACTCAGCCAGCTTGACCCCCCTTCCCTCCCCCCTCTGTCCTCAGGCGCTGCGCGACCACCAACGAGCGAGCAGCATCGAGAGGGGAGGCACGCCGGGCTCCCTCAACTCCCCCGGCCCCATCCGCGCCAGGGTCGGCAAGATCGACACCACTCCCAAGAGCCGCACACAGAAAATTTCCAACAGGTAGAGATTTCTTGTTATTTTCTGTAACCCTGTGGTTTTTGGATTCCTTTTTTGTTGTGTATGTAAGGTCTTTCTAGTTTTATGGATTAAGAAGTGTTTATTATGTAATGTTTATATATGTCTATTTATTTATTTTATATATCTATATGTTTATATATTTATACATATATGTGTATATATATATATATATATATATATATATATATATATATATATATATATATATATATATATATATATATATATATATTTTTATTTTTTTTTTTTTAATGGAAAGTAAACCATTTTCTGATTGAAGATTTTGAAGTGCACTTAGATAATTGCCATTCATTTGATTACATATGCAATATATATATTTTTTATGTAACATCCAAACGGGAACAAAAATATGTATGTACTTATTTTTAATGCTGTGGTTACAACAGAGTTTTAAGATATATCTTTATCCAAAGACTTTTGATAGTTTTTATGAGGGATAAGCCCCCCCCCCTCCCCAAGAGAAAAAAGAAAAAGGACCCCCCCCCCCAAAAAAAAAAAAAAAGAGTAACGGAGACCCTTCCTCCGCAGGGCCAATCGCATGCTCCACGAGGCCATCAAAGGTCAACTCCGTTCGCGCAGACAAGGTTCTCCCGGACATACCTCGTACTCCCTGCATGGCACCCTCACCCCCCCGCATGGTAGAGTGCAGTAGACCCTTGATTAGCTCGCCAATCCTGGGCAGCTGGTGTTTTGGAAGGAAATGTCAACCAGTATTTCTCTCTCTCTCTTTCTTTCTATTTTTCTGTGTCTTTCTTTCTTTCTTTCTTTCTCCTTCACCTTTTCATTCTTTTTTCATACATTCTATTTTCCTTCCCTCTCCCTCTCTCCTTCCCCTCCCTCTTCCTCTTCCTCTTCCTCTCTCCCTCTCCCTCCCCCTCCCCCTCCCCCTCATCCTCCTCCTCCTCCTCCACCCTCTCTCTCTTTCTTTCTTTCTCTCTCCACTTTCCCTCCCTTCCCTATCCCCTCCTCCTTCCCCCCCACTCTCTTGAGACATTTCCGCCCCTAGAGTTATTTTACGGTACTTGATATTTTGCTTCAGACTTCCCCAGGCATGACGTGAGGTGGAGCCGAGTAGAGAGCTGTTAAGTGCTAGTGGCCATACCGAAGGGACAGGCATGGAAAATCTAGCGGTTGCTACTCTGATCTAGGGGGAATATTTGCACAGAATGGAGTACTCTCATCTGGGGCGTTGGGCAAGCCTCTGCATCTTGCAAGGTGGATGGGCATGTTAGCTACAGTTGCTGCCTTTGCTCGAGATGTGGTAGTTTGGTCGCAGGTGTTTTGATTAGGGTTTTATTTGAAGTGAGTGAATGATAGAGAGAGAGAGAGAGTGTGTGTGTGTGTGTGTGTGTGTGTGTGTGTGTGTGTGTGTGTGTGTGTGTGTGTAGATTATGTATGTATGTATGTATACGCATATGTGTGCTTATATTGCTCTTCTTTTCCCACCTTCCCTACATCTCAGTTTCTCTCTTGCCTTGATAAGTTTGGGTATGTTTGTCTGTGTGCTTGTGTATGTTTTGATATGTATTATGATACTGTTGGACTTCGATTTTAATTAAGTATCTGTAATGAAATTATTTTCTCTTAGACAATGTATTAGTATATTTTAGTTCATCTCTCTCTCTCTCTCTCTCTCTCTTTCTCTTTCTTATTTCAAGTAAATTAGGGTGATAGCATTTGTGTAAACAAGGTAGAATAAGTGGAGATATTAGAACCCTAAAGGAAGAATACACAGAGACTTTAGAAGACAGGTTTGGACCTTTAGAAGTAGAGTAAACACCCAGTGTCGATACAATCATACCTCCTGTACACCTGGTGACGAAGCTTGGATAACACGCATTCAAGGACTGCAGTTGGGGCCTCTGGATGTGCTGTCCCTTCTAACTGGGGGCTTTGTCATGGACGCAGAATATCGCTTTTGGTAATGTTTTGTAAAAGTGGCAAAGGGTGCATTCGGCCTAATGACATTGCTTTGCAATTGATGGTTTTGTTGTTGCAGCATTTATGTTGTGCTAAGGTGAATGCTTAGGAGTTTATGTGTATTTGATATAGATCGTTATAATGATTTAATTGACAGATCAGCTCACCAAAGAGATAAACAGGATAGCAGAGTGTGCCAAAAATAAAGAGAAAAAGACTCCATTTGTGAATGCAGCTTCGATTTTCAAATCTCTGGAGTCATGCATGTGCAAAGTAGCTGACATCACCTGTTTGCGCAGTTCAGATTTTGATGGAGATGTTATTCAAAAATGGCAAACTATTTCAGCATCACTGTTAGTTTGGGTAAACCATGGCTTGGCCTCTGGATGTAGCATGTTTCCACATAATTTTGTGTTTTGATGAATTCTCTCATCAGGGAGATTATTGCTGTTGTGTGCATGATCTGGAATGCTTCTGGTTTCTGTAAGATGCATGAAAGAATAGCAGCCAGAGTCTTAGTAAAGATTCAAGACGGGGATGATAATGTTATTTAGGCATATGAGGGCAGTAGTAGGTACTTTTTAGATTTATCAAGAAACAATTTAGGTTGTGTCTTTTGTCATGGTAGGTGAAGTTTACTGCTAAAAAATCAGTTTTTGTGATTAATTTCATGCAGACTTTCAAAGATGGAATGATATTTATTTTGTATAAAAGAAAATATATAGTTATATATGAATAAGTTCAGTTGTTAGTGGAAAGTTAATGGAAATAGCAAGAATTTGCTAGGAAAGGAAATTTAATGGAAATATTGAGAATTTGAGATGTGTGGAAGAAATTTAAATGATAAAGGGAAAAGAAAAGATGCATATATATTTCCCATCCGTCGAAATGATAACCAGAACCTATGACTTAAGGATAGCTATGAAGGGAATAAAGTGTAGAATTTGCTAAAACCTCTCTCACTAATGGCCTCCCTAACAGCAACGACACCGGGAGCAGCTGGTGAAGACTGCCTCGAAGACAGCGATGTTGAGATATACCTGAACCAGGTAAGGTTTCGTGTTGATTTCTCGGATTCATCACTTTACCAGAAATCAAGATGTAAAAACAAATATGAGCTGTTCTTCTTACTAGTTTCACCTCTCTGATGCCAAAGGGATGTCACTCTTGGGTTACCGTTACCTTACTAGTTACCACTGTATCTAATTCAAAAGAGTTGCTAGCTCTGGTTTCACTTTCCTGATTACTGACTGGGTTTACAGAGAGTAACTTTTACTTTGCACTTTCCTGACAGGTAACTGCCCTTCACCGCCTGGCCTTTGCGGAGCTCCTGTTGGCCCAGCAGCTCGTCCCGGCAGATAGAGTCACGCGAACCTTTGAGCTGATCCTGCGTGACCCCATGGACCAGCTGGTGGCTGAGGGAGAGGTGAAGTGGCTGGGATTGTCTCTCAATAAGTGTTTTGTCACATACTTGTAGTTTGCTTGAAATAGTTCATATAATGATATATTGGATTGCAACAGTAACCATATATATATCACTAATTTGTTATTGAATTACACTAAATCCTTCTGTTATTTGGTGTTAACTCCTATTATCAACTTGATATAAAATCCTTTTGTCAGTAAGTGTGGCTTAGCTTGGCAAGCTGACTTGACCTTGCCACATTTCTCCTTTGACAGAGCTTGGCAGGTCAAGCCCGCAGGAGTGTTGGCAGAGGTGACCACCAAGCTGTGCTGTCGGTCTTGGCAATGCTGCGGCATGTAACGAGCATGCAACCTGAATACGACCGGCTCCTCACCAACTGCCAGACATCAATTCGCTCCAAGTTTGCTGCCATTATCAGCATGCTCCAGGAGACGGTAAGGGAGGATGTGAGGGAGGATTTGCAGAAGGGTGATTCAACGGATGGCAGGGAGCAAATGCCATTGTTTTATTGATTCATGGTTCATCTTTCTTACTATGAGCTGAGCACAGTTTGGATTACAGTTATCACCACAACTTTGCAACATTTTCCCAGGGTATTACGTTTTAATATAGTCTATCTCTTGTTTCTGCTTTAATTCATAGTGTGTCAAGGCTCTGGAGGGCTTTGTGGAGAGCGTCAAGAGCGATGGAGAACGCGCCCTGCCCAAAGATGGAACAGTTCATGAGGTCACAAGCAATGCGCTCATCTTCACAGAGCAGCTCCTGGAATACGCATCAACCTTGTCCCCAATGCTGCAGCGCGATCAAAGCCTCAGTGCCGCTCTTGCAAACCTGCCCAGGGGCCTGGACCAGAATCTACTGGCGAAGGCACTGCTTGGGGCTTATATCAGTGAGTATTTGGGTGTAAGGGTGGAAGAAAGGAAAAGGATGAAGGTAGGGCAGAGAATGAGAGAGAGAAAGACAGAGAGAGAGAAGGGAGGGAGAGAAAGGGGAGGAGAGGTGGATAGAGGGGAACAGATTGTAATACAAAAACGTTTAAAATAGTGATATACCAGTGTTCTCTATTATTACATGTTAAAAATAAAACAGGATCAACTCCCTTTACACCAGAATAGTCACCACATCCTGGTCATAAACTAATCTCGTTCCATTTCTTCGCCCCAGAGCGCGTTCTCGTGAACCTAGGTCTCGCTCTCGTCAGCCGGAGCGAGTCCTATAGCGACACGACCCTGCGCTCCATCTTCCGCCTCAACAACTACCACTACATCCTCAAGACGTTGCAGAACTCCGAGCTGTTGAACCTTGTTGCCTTGGTTGAACCCCAGTGCGATAAGATGTACAATGACCAGATCATGGAGCAGAAGAAGTTGTACTCACAGAGGTTAGCATTGTGTTTTGTTGGATGATGTTCAGAGGAGGTGAAAGAAAGAAAAAAGTGTCTATGTGTGTGTGTTTGTGTCTGTATGTGTCTCTGTGTTTTTTGTTTTTTTTTGTGTGTGTGTGTGTATGTTTGAGCAACGACTTTTTGTTGTTACACTGTACTTGTAAGCTTACTGGAATTAATGATTTTGTTTTACCTTTTTCCAGTTGGAGTAAAGTACTACACTACCTGAATCATGAGGATGTCCCCATATCTGTAATACAAGCTGGGAAGCTGCGAGACAAAGACAGACAACTTATCAAGGACAAGTTTTCGGTAAGTTCAGAATTTGTCATGTGTTGTTGTTTGATATAGTAAAGAATTATAGTTCTTAGATATTAAGTTTCTTTGTGTGCTCAGTAGCTCAGTTGCCTGAAGTGCCCAAGTGCCTTAAGTGATTAGGACCCTGACTATTCCTGACACATGGAGGGGGGGGGGGTGACCTATAGGATCAGTACATTGAGGTTAAACAGTATCCAGCATAGGCCCACCTTGTATATGTATCATTCCTTTAATTTGTTTCATAATATTTCAATTTGAATCTAGTTAGTCAAGGTGACCAAGTTGATAATATAATGTCTGTGAAATGATGTTGGTATGTAAGCACTGTGGGAGACTTGACCTTGTGATGTTTGCAACATGGTGTCCTTAGAACAATTTGTCTGAGAGTTCTTCATAGATTCGACCGATGTGATTAAAAAAAAAAGAAAAAAAAAGGAACTTCTGGGCTTCAACAAACATTCAGATCTATAATGTTCCCCATTTCTGTGCTTCAGCAAGGAGTCAAAAAATAAAACACTTCGAATTCCAGAAGTTTGGGAAAGAAATGGTCTTAAAAAGAATACATATGACCGCCAATTTCAGGGTTTCAACAAGGAGATGGAGGAGATGTGCAGAGTACAGCGGAGTTACTCCATCCCGGACCGAGAACTGTGCGTCAGCCTCAAGAGAGACAACATGGAATACATTCTGCCGAAGTACCAGGTCTTCTACGATAAGTGAGTCTTGCTGTTATTATGTGTTTGTGTTTCTGTTTCTTCTTTTAGGAGAAAGTGTCCTGTGTTTAGGTTAGGAGCCTTTTGTCAGATTATGACTGTGTGTGTGTGTGTGTGTGTGTGTGTGTGTGTGTGTGTGTGTGTGTGTGTGTGTGTGTGTGTGTGTGTGTGTGTGTGTGTGTATGTGTGTGTGTATGTGTATGTGTGTGTGTGTGTGTGTGTGTGTGTGTGTGTGTGTGTGTGTGTGTGTGTGTGTGTGTGTGTGTGTGCACCTTTTTTATACATCTACACTTATGTACATAGAAAGATACATAGATAAAAATTTGCACCCATGAATGCCTTTGATGGTTGAAACTCTTCTTTCTAGGTATGTCAACGTAGCCTTTACCAAGAATACAGAGAAATATGTTAAGTACAGCCCAGCAGACGTGTCGACCATGATTGACAAGTTCTTTGACGTGGCTGCGTAAGGGAGGTCTTGCCAGCGTGATCTTCCAGTCATATTTTCTTCTTGACAGGAGGATGAAAGTGCTGCATTCTGTGATAATGTTATAGAATCCTCAAGGTCTATTTCCTTACAAGCAGTGTTTTAGGGTAATATCAGGGTCCTTTTATAATATTAATTTAATTTTTTTTTTTTCATGTTTGTATTTATTTAATTTTCTGTCTTGTACTAATATTGGGTGCCCCACAAAAGGAAGCAGTTCAAGATACCAAGCTAGTTTATTTGAATGACCATGTTTCTCTCTTTAAATAAACTGATGTGGTTTATTTTATTTATTACAATATACAGTATCATCTTAGGACTGATATCAAAGGAACATTTTACATTCAGAAGGTCCTGTATGTGACGTATGACCGTCATTCACATATAAAGTGTTCTTATAATGGCCTCAGATAATAGAAATTTGAAGATACATTTTCTTGTATACCCCACTTACACCCAGCATACAGACTTAACCCTTTGTGTGTGGGACATCAACTGTCCGCTTTTGATTTTATTGCACACGGACGATTCAACAAGTGCTCAGCTGCCAAGGAGTCAGTTAGTAAGCCCAAGATGACCTCACTCTATTTCCCCATTCCGTGAATGTTTTTCTAATGTTATTAAAATTGATACTGCTATTGTGAAATGCTGCTATTAATGAATATTATAATATTTTTAAAAGAATATTAGCAATGAGAAATAAAAATTAGCATTTCCAAAAATCAAGGGAAAGGGTAAATGGGTGAGATAGGTTAGCCTAGTAATTGACTCTTTTGCGATTGAATACTTGTGGAGTCACCTATATGTAAATCAGTCAGAAACTAAAATCACACTGAATTTGGCTTGTATGACATGTTATCCCAGCCCTAAGGGTTAGTCATGCAGTTGCTCAGCCTCACATAGTTTGGAAGAATTTAATATAACTGAATTAAGAACATATGAGGTTATCTAAGTATAATTTTCCATAAATCCAGCAGTATAACATTCATTTGAGAGTAGGAAGCAGTCAACACAAGATAGCTGTGAATCAATTAATGTTTTAGAGAGGCCACAAGGTGCATTATTTAGGACTTAGCTTCAATTCCCAGAAGTAGAGGTTAAATGTAAATGACTTTGTTATATTCCCAATTCAATCTGTCAATCATCTTCAGTTGTAGCCAGAGAAAGAATGCATTTATAGAAAGATATGTAATTGAAAGCTTAAAGATAAGCCTTCTTCTTTGTTTTTCCTTTTGCATTCTATGTTTAAAACTATCCTCATTTCTTTGGATGATGTGGTTCATGATTTTAGGTAAAGGATATAAAGTGCTTTCTCTCCGTGGAGTTTAGGTGACAAAATTATTATACTGAATCATTATATATATATATATATATATATATATATATATATATATATATATATATATATATATATATATATATATATATATATATATATATATCATATATATATATATATTTTTTTTTTTCTTTTATAATAGTTCCATATTTGTTTTTGCAACCATGTATATTTTTATATTTATCTTGTTTCTTGAAGGATCTTGGAAAATTCCGAAGAATCATATACCATGATCAAACTTTGACATTTGCTTTGATCCTGTAACGTATAGTATAGATAGATATAGGAATTCAAAAGAAAAGGATGTACAGAATAGAAATAGATAGATAGACCCATATATATATATATATAATGCATAATTTGCCTTTCTGCCTCTTTATAGCATTTATTTGTCAAATAAAATTGTGGTACTGTGCAAGCATGTGTTTTTATGTCAAACTAACAAACCAAGAGGATATCATATACCTTATGCTTTTGTTTATCTATGGAATAGGAGTGTATTGGCTAATGCCGCTTCCAACTGGCCAAGTGGAGCAGTCGATGGTTGCCACCGACAGCTAATGCGTGACTTGTTATTTTATTGGCGTAAACTACTTCAAAAGATCTCAAACAAAATATTCATGGGAATGAAACTTGTTCTGAGCAAAGGAAAGATAAAGATTATAGATCTTGACCAACAGAAAGGACTGGAAAATATGCCTCTGGTGTATGTATATACCTAGGCAGTCCACAGGTTATAACAATATATTACTACATAGTATTGTGTCAATATTTTGGAAGATGTAATAATGCCAGAACATTTTATTTAGGGATGTGTGTGTATATATATGTGTCCATGTATATATATATGTGTGTCCATATCTATCTATCAATCTATCTATCTATCTATATATATATATATATATATATATATATATATATATATATATATATATATATATATATATATATATATATATATATATATATATATATATATATATTTATATATATTTATATGTATATGTATATGTATATGTATATGTATATGTATATGTATATGTATATGTATATGTATATGTATATGTATATGTATATATATGTATATATATATATATATATATATATATATATATATATATATATATATATATATATATATATATATATATATATATATATATATTGTATATATATATTTATTTATTTATTCATTTATTCCTTAGCATATGCTGTAATTATAGACTGCATGAACTGTTTACACTCAATAGTTACGTCTTTTGATAATTACTAAAGCCATGCTAGTGCACCTGACAATTGTTCAGGAAATAATATTTTCATTCATTAAGTCATATGTTTATTTCATACAAACTGGTTACAAGTCATTTTTCCACAACATAACTGACTAATATGTTTGATATAAATATAAGGGAAATACATTCAAACACACATGGACAGACACTCAGAACAGTGAAAATTATTATGAGAGAACAAATGAGGATATCATTCAATATACCAAATATATGCACAGTATTCATCATATATTCATTGTATACATACCTGGCATGCATATATAGATAGATAGATAGATAGATAGATAGATAGATAGATAGACAGACAGATACATGGATAGATAGATGTATTTCTACACTATTTTGTACTCACCTGCTTTGTTTTCCGTTGTCAGTTTTGGTACTTCTGTTGTCTTAGATGAAGTTACTGTTGCTGTTGTTATTACCCTAGTTGAGTTCTGCATAGCTGGAGTTGACTCATAAGTTGTATTTTTTTCTGCTGTTTGTTCAGTTACTGACGGTGAGATTGTGGTATTTGTTACCAATTCTGACTGTGTTGATGTTGTCTCTGGTGTATCTGTTGTTGTTGTTGTTGTTGATAATGATGTTGATGTTGTTGGCAAAGGTGTTGTTGTGTCTTTTGTTGTTGTTGTTGGTAATGATGGTGATGTTGTTGGCAAAGGTGTTGTTGTGTCTTTTGTTGTTGTTGTAGTTGCTGTTGTTGTTGTTGATATTGTTGAAGACGTAGCTGTAGGGGGTGGGGGGAGAAAAGCATAATAGCTCTTTCAATACACTATAATGTCTGCCATTTTGTCTCCTAATAGGAATATAATTATTCTTCTTTTTATCTTTTACATTTTACCCTTTCAAGCAGTAATAAAAACAAAATAAGATTTTTTTCCCCATGGAGTAATAAAAACCACAATAAGAGTTTTTCCTCTCTCGAGCAGCAACAGAAATACAAGCAATTTTTAAAATCTTCTCTCATGCAGTAATAAAAATACAAGATTCTTTACACTCTCGAGTTCAGGATGTTAAAACAGTAAGCAGCCGGAACACATACTAGAAACACAGAGTTCAGGCAGCTGTAGTTCTTGCCACGAGCAGACGGAGGCGTTGAAGAGGAAGATGTCGCTGGGATCCATGGCATTGCAATTTATCCTGCAAAGTTGACAAGTTTTATCATTCGTGTTCTTTAGGCTAGTTTGGGAGAATCTGTGGAATGAATGTACATTAGATGAGGGAGCTTTTTTTAAATTTATGAATGGGATGGAATTGGCAAATGAAGGTGTTTTTTTTTGTACCAGATAAAAGTAGAAATTCATTTTAGTCCCTTTATTATCTTAGTTGTTTAGGCAACTTAGGCTTAACACTGAGAGAGCGAGAAAAAAAATCACCATTTTTTATATAATAACTGCCATTTGGATTCATTACAGGTTTTATTTAAATTAGTAAATATTTCCTTTATCAAGATTTGGTACTCCAGCTTAGCAAGTGGATACCCATGTACACGCTCACTTATTTGCATAAAGATATAGAAAGATGTACATGCAGAAACACTTCGCTCTCTATTTTTTTCTTCACCTTCCTTATTCTCAGCTTTACCCTCATGCTAACCCTCTCTCTCTCCCTACCCTTCTTTTCATCCTCTCCCCTCACTCTCACCCTCTCCCTCTCCTCCTTCACCCTCATTTTCACCCACACTTTCACCCTCTCCTTCCCCCTTTCCCTCACCCTTTCCTTCTTCTTCTCCTCCTCCCTCTTTCTCACCCTTACTTTTTTTTCCTTCTCTTTCTCCTTCACCCTCGTCTTTTCCTCGCCCTCTCCTCCCCTTACCCTCACCTTCTCCCTCTCACCTTCCCTCTCCTTAATTCTCACCCTCACCCTCACTCTCTCTCTTACCCTCACCTTCACCCATTCCCTATCCGTCTCACACACACACACACACACACACACACACACACACACACACACACACACACACACACACACACACACACACACGACTCACGTAATGTTGGGCAGAGTAATGAGACTGTCGTTGTCCATATAGAAGAAACACTTGGTAAACGCCTCCACGATAAAACTCTTGTAAACAAACGGAGGTAACCCTATATCTCTTACTCCTGCAAATAAAGAAAATAATGATAACAATAATAATAATGATAAAATGATAATAGTAGAAATAATTGATACTACTACTACTACCACCACCACGCTATCAATGACGACGACGACAAGAATAATTATGATAACAAAGATAACAATAATTAGAATAAGAATGATGTTATTAATGATAATAATGATGATGATAATAATAATAACAATGATGGTAATGATAATGATAATGATAATAATAATAATAATGATGATGATGATAATAATAATAATAATAATAATAATAATAATTATAATAATAATAATGATAATAATAATAACAATAATAATAATAATAATAATAATAATAATAATAATACTGATAATAATGATAATAGTAACAATAATAATAATAATAATAATAATAATAATAATAATATTGATAATAATAATGATAATAATAATAATAATAATAATAATGATAATAATAATAATAATATTAATAATAATAATAATAATAATAATAATAATAATAATAATAATAATAATAATAATGACAACAATAATAATAATAATAATAATAATAATAATGGTAATAATAATAATAATAATAATGATAATAATAATAACAATGATAATGATAATAATAATATTGATGCAGTAGAATTCCACAGCGAAAAAGATACTGAAACGCGGCGCGCGGCCCGTAGAGTTTCCCTCACCGCACGCCGCCGAACTCACCAATACAACGAGGAAGGGAATCGGGGTCAGGAGCCCAGGTATTGTTCTCCGTGCACTCGATTTCGATAGTGAGTTCCCCGCCCTCGAAGAAGCCTCCTGGACAGTCGTACTTGCCCTGATGAAAGAAATATGGCTGATCAAATTTTTTTTCTGTGTGTGTGAATATTATAGATTTTTTTTTCTTTCTCTCTCTTCCCCAAAACAATTTCGAAAGGACTGTCTAAGTTGTTGGGCTTTGTAAAAAAAAAAACATGCAGTCAAAATCAAACTAGATTATTTAAACCAGATAGACAGCCAGGACAGTCGTTCGCCCGCCACATACCTTCGTGCCATTGGTATAAGGGTAAGGAGAATCGATGGAAAACTGTCCTTTGCCACTCAGAACCTGGGGCGGAATACCACACACTCCTACAGTGCAAAATACGTTAATATTTCGTTATACACCTCGCGTGATAAGACAGTTAGATAGACAGATAGAGACATAACATAATTCCATGAACATCAACACGCACACATAGAAAAAATAAGTGGAAGATGGACTAACCAATGCATTGCGGCAGCTCTTGGTCGGGGGTGAGCGTGTCGTAAGTCCATCTCAGAGTGTCTTCGTAGCAAGCGCAGGCACTCAGGACATTGCTTGGCCACTCTGCGGTCTGTCAGGGCCATGAGGGAATATATATTAGGGATCAGGATAAGTATGTACATATTTGTATCTGTTTCCGGGTGTGTGGCTATTTGTCTACGCTGTATTTCCTTAACTATGTATTATTTATCTACTTTATACATGTGGGTGTCTCGTATTTGTGTGTGTGTGTGTGTGTGTGTGTGTTTGCGTCTGTGTGTGTGTGTGTGTGTGTGTGTGTGTGTGTGTGTGTGTGTGTGTGTGTGTGTGTGTGTGTGTGTGTGTGTGTATGTGTGTGTGTGTGTGTGTGTGTGTGTGTG